CCACAGCCCAAGTCTGAGGTTGCCGTGAGCTATGATGCCATTGCACTCTGCTCAGGACATAGGGTGGGACTGTCTCAACAACAACAAAAAGCAAAGAAATAAAAATTTAAAAAAAAAGCAAGGAAATGAAAAAAGAGAGAGTTAGAAAGATTTCCCTTTGTGGTGGCTGTGAAGAACAAAGTAAAAAGGTTTGAATAGGTAACAGTATATCCTTTTCTTTCCCAAAGACTCTTCACATTAATTCTATAAACAGCTAGAATTTGGCTACTAAAAGAAATTTCCCACTATTCATTTGTGAATGAATTTCCCACTATTCAAGAATTGACCATTTACATCACTTTTTTTTTGAGACAGAGTCTCATTTTGTTGCCCTGGGTAGAGTGCAATGGCATCATAACTCACAGCAACCTCAAACTCTTGGGCTCAAGTGAGCCTCTTGGCTCAACCTCCTGAATAGCTGGGACTACAGGTGCCCGGCTATTTTTAGAGATGGGTGTCACTTTTGCTCAGGCTGGTCTCCAACTCCTGTTCTCAGGCAATCCACCTGCCTCAGCCTCCCAAAGTGCTAGGATTCCAGGCGTAAGCCCCAGCGCCCGGCTTATAATCACTCTTCCATAGTTTCCGCAGGATCACATACATAATGCTGAACACTCCGGATATCAAATAAGCACAGGTAGATTTCAAAAAGTGTTTCATATGCGAATTTTATTAGAATGATTTTTCGAACACAGAGATATGTGACTTTAGTCTGCTCATAGTCACTCTTGATGCATACACTGAAAAACAATAGTCAAAGCAGCAATTATATCAACTCTCTACAAGAGTTGCTACACACCCAAGCGGTGCTTTGGTAAATAACAAATGCACAAGAGCACTTCAGTAGAAATTAAATTAATCTGGGACACTTCTCGAATTCTGTACTGGAATTCAATTCAGATAAGTCATTCATGGAGGAAGAAGAATTCCACGATCTCACAGCCTAGAACACCAAGTGCGGCCATTGCAACTAATGACAACAGGAGCTGCCAGAGAGTCCATCGTTCTCATTCCAGCTGCCAAAAGCAGTAGGCAGGATGTCACAATTTGGCTAGTTTGCCTTGTAAACATTTAATTTTTGCTTAAGTCATCCCTAAGCAAATAGAATAAAGACAATGCAATGTTACCCAACCATACCCACATGCCAGTTTTTAATTAATATGGTTATAGGAGAACCAAGGAGGTGCTAAAAAAAAATACCAAAAATTCATGTTTGTGTTGCACTGTTTAGTGCTAAACTTTAACTTCCTGCTGCCTTGAAACATTTTCTTACTATCATGAATCTATGTCCATTCTTAGAAAGGAAACTAAATATCCCGTTTGATATTGAGGAGTTAGCACGGGCTTACACATTCTCTGCCGAGATGCTAAAGAAAGAAGAAAAAAAATCAAATTTCACTTAAAAATAATTTCTATTTTTTAAATCATGTGCTAATAGGTGAATTTTTTGATGTAAGAATATAAGGAACGTTTATATCATAGAGCATAAAGGATCAAAGGTGATCCCTTCAAAACGAATTTTTTTTTCCCCAGAAAAATACACAAGTCTTTGAAGTACTCAAGCAACAAAAATCTGATGGTGAGCAGGACTGCGTTTACTTTGAAGATATAAGGTAATTAAGAACTTATGGAAAAATCACAATGATTTTAAAAGTATTCCAGCAAACAGATGGTGGCAAGTAGTTTGGCAACACATATTAGAAAGAAGATTTATATTTCATACATAAATGAAAGGCAAAGATAAATACAACTGATATGTCTTATTCATTGATATAATTTACACTATACCTATACACACATGGCAAATTCACAGTTATAACTAAAAAAGTCCATTTAGAACAGTCCCTTTTTTAAACTACTATTTGCATAATTTCCAGTAACAGAAGCCTAATAGATGTATGCTCATCTTTTATGAATTACAGTAGATCTATGCTTTAAATTATGCTTTAATTTTATGGCTTGAACAACATAAACGCCAGTACTGCATATTTTATGCTTACTCAAAATTCACTGGCTTAGGCTTTTAAAAACTCTTTGAGATGAAACAGTCAAGTCCACCCCAGATCATCACCCTACAATTTCCTCTTTGTCATCCCTGGCGATCTAGCTCAATCCATCACTGAACCTCAGACCTCAGAAGCTGATACCATCACACCCAACCTCAGTTTTAAAAAGAGAGAGGAATAGTCACGTGAAGAATTCAAAACAAACATGAAATCTGCATCTTTTGGATGTCATTTTGTGCTAGAGTTTTCCTTTGCCTGTTAGTTTGGAAGTTTGCCATGCTCCTCAGTGAAGCTTTCACATTTCTGTTCTAAGACCTGACTCAGAGCAAGACTGTTTTCAGCTTTACTAATCCCCCTTTAGTTCCTCATCTCTCAGACAATAAACAGAAGACTATCATCTTTCCTGTGATGTTTCTCCTCTTTTCATCTAACTTCCTTAAAAAGAAAGAAATATTTATTTAGCACTATTTTTTTTTTTGAGACAGAGCCTCAAACTATCCCCCTGGGTAGAGTGCTGTGGCTTCACAGCTCACAGCAACCTCCAGCTCCTGAGCTCCAGCGAGTCTCCTGCCTCCACCTCCCAAGTGGCTGAGACCACAGGCACCCGCCACAATGCCTGGCCATGTTTTGGTTGCAGCCATCGTTTTTGTTTGGCGGGCCCAGGCTGGATTTGAACCTGCCACCTTAGGTGTATGTGGCTGGCGCCTTGTCACCTGAGCCACAGGTGCTGAGCCAGTACTTTTTTTTTTTTTTTTAAGGACAATTCCTGACTCATGGAGGCAGGGAAACCTCAAAATTGATTTTTTTCCATTCCCGACAAAGGTCAGAAGATGTGAATATTTACACTGGGCCCTCTTCATTCTGATAGATCTTTTGATCTTAAAGAAGACAAAAGGCAACTCTGAAAACTGAGCGTTGAAGGCACTCAAAGTCGATGTCAACTTTTTCTTTTTTTCAACCACAAAATTCCACATCATCCTTAACATTCAGCATTTTTCTCCCATACTATTATTTTATACACAGATTGTCACATCGCAAGGTAGCTTCAACATGCTGGCTCTGTTCCTCGGTTTTCCAGATAAATTAACCACCATAAAATACCTCCTTGAGCTTTTCTCCAGCCGTTTCCTCATCTGCTGATAACCGTGGGTTTGTTCTCCACTATAAGAAAACTAACTTCAGTCTGTCAAGCGTCCTTAGAGATCAACATATCAATAACTTAGAGCTAACTAGTGAAGGAGCTATGCAGAATTGTTCCCTTCAATTTTAGATTACTCCAAAATATACATATGTACACACACGCACACAACAAATTTACAGAGTTTGCAGAAATAAACTGCAGTACAATTTCAAGCACACATTTACCAATTCACATTTTGAGAGAATTTACATGCAGGTCAAAAGAAGTACAGTTTACACTGCTACTTTACATAGCAAGCTGAAATACAGAATGTTTTAATGTTTGTTTCAGATGTATTCTTTCTTCTACGTCTTAAAAAGGAGCAAAATGGAGACAGAAGCCTCAAGCTGTGTCTATCGCAGTTATCAGGGTGGTGTTATTTTTACCCGCAAATTATTCAACTTGTTCACTCTATACAAAATGTGTTATACATATACCATATACAAAACACGAAACAGAGGTAAGAAATGAACACATTATACAAAATAGTTGATACAATCAATCAGTATTCAACTTTCTATCATTTTGGCCAAAAGACTCTTAGCCTGTGCTTTCTTTTCTGATACTAAGGGATAGTCACACGCTATATCCTGCTATACAGCATTCTGAACGATAGAAAATAGGAATGCGTAGGCACGGGGCTGGTGACACAGCTGAAATACCCAACTGTGCTGTTGTAAATATGTATACAATTTAGCCATGTCATGTCATCTGTATTATTTTGCATAGTTACAGTTACTGATGAGTGGTCCAGAATATGAAATACAAATGGTAACAGGGAAGTCAGTTTTCCAACTTACTTCTTAGTATAGTTTTTGAAAATAAAAACTTGCATCCTAGGAACAGGGAAGTGTGGAAGAACATAAAAATAAAAACTTGCAGCGAACACACTGAAAAGCTGTCAAGCTCACTAGCTTTGAAGAACTTGAAGAGCGCATTCAAGTGAACAAAGAACAAAAGTGAGAATTGAAAATGTCACCTAACAATTTGTATCCTCGTATGAATTTGAAATTTAGAAAGGAACAAGAATAAAGGAAAACCCATAGCTGCCTAAGAGTCTTAAAAATCAGAAATGTAATACTCTCTTCAAGTGCATTCAAACCACTTCTCACGTGCTCGCTCAGCTCGGACATTCAGAACAGCCGATCACACACATATTTACACTGAGAATGTACAGTTAAATACAACGGGTACATGAGAAACAGCTACTACGTAAGTGGTTATTAAGTTACACTGACTTGTGTGCTGATCTAGTGAGTCACAGGTTCACACGTGCACAGGTGAGATTTTTGATTTTTACCCATTTCTTTTTGACATGCTCAGGTGAAAACCCGTCGCACAGAAACTCCCTAGTCCCAGCCAGCGGTCAGGCCCACCGTCCGCTGGAGGCAAAGCTTCTACTGAAGGAGAAGTTGATTTCAGAGTTCTTGTATTTCCCCCAGGCGCCAAAAGGCACCACGACTGCGGTGCTGTTATCTTCCGTCCCGTACTGGATGGCCTGCGACAGGAGAAAACACTGGAAATCAGAGTCTGGACAGAGAGAAATCAACGTTCCCCTGGAAAATGAAACTGCTTTTACGTTCAGTCCCTAACCTAATTTATTTCATAATCGTTTGTGATTCTTTCACCCTGAGTCAGTGCCCACAAGGTTTATTAAATGGCACACGAGATAAATAATAAATGACCCAAAACAAACATATCGATTCTGTTCCACTGTAGCAACTTCAGCAGTAGAAACACCAGCGGACTGAGTCACCGACAGCGACACGCGGCGTGTGGGGAACATGACGAGTCTACACAGGGGCCGCTGGGCTTGTCAGTGCCCGAGCTCACCAGCAATTCTGCTTTTAGGATTTTAGCCTAAAGGAATAAAAACCTTGGGAATGGATGTGGTTAAATACCTAACTACAGGAATATTTACTACACTTCTCACAAAATGAAAAAGTGGCCATGCTCCATATACCGGAGGTGGCGGCTTCAAACATGGGCCCGGCCAAAAACTGCAAAAAAAGAAAAAAAGTGAAAGTGGCCATAAACTAAATTTCTTGCAGTAGGAGAACTGTAAATCAAATTTTAGGAATTTGTTCAAAGAGCAAGTGATGGCTTGGTGCCTGTGGCTCAAGCGGCTAAGGTGCCAGCCACATACACCTAAGGTGGTGGGTTCGAATCCAGCCCGGGTCTGCCAAACAACAATGATGGCTGCAACCCAAAAATAGCCAGGCATTGTGGTGGGTACCTGTGGTCCCAGCTACTTGGGAGGCTGAGGCAGGAGACCTGCTTAAGTCCACGAGTTGGAGGTTGCTGTGAGCTGTGATGCCACAGCACACTACCCAGAGGGACAACTTGAGACTCTGTCTCAAAAAAAAAAGAAATAGTTTATTATAGTGAACATAAACTAAATTTGCTGACTACAGGAATATATTCCACAAATAAGATGGCATACTATGCAGCCATAACAATATCCCTCCTTATGTGAACTGGAACACACTTTTCTGTAGGACAAGCAGTTGTAATCAGGAAGGATGAGATCATCTGTGGGGAGGGGGCTCCTTTTTGCATTTTATGAGGACCCTGTTTGGCATTGGTTAAAGCAGTAACCGAGTAAATAATTTAAGCATTATGAGTATGCTGGCCCATCTATTTTCATGCCAATGATACTTTTAAAGTAACGTATTTTGTCTTAATTTGGGAAATGCAGAATTAGTTGTTGAATTAAAGCATGCCTCTGCTGATCAGTAACAGCTATAACTTAAAACAGTTAAGCAAAAGAGAATATTAAACAATACAAAGCAAATTTTACATCGTCTTCACTGGATATCATCCAGCTTTCAATTTTAGCTGTAAGTATCCCGCAGCCTCATCCATATGCCTTTCTATTCTTTTGGTTTGTCTTTTTCACATATTATTTTTAATAACCAGATAATGACTATGCTATAGTGTTCCTCAAACTGCATATTGACCCGAACAGTCTGGTTTAATGGATGTGGAGCCTGGCTGCGAGTTTGAGCCAAGTTCTACAACTTAATAATCTTGTGACCTTCAGGAATTACTTAACTTTGCTGCCTCTGGACCTTAGTTTTCCTCATCTATGAAAAGGGATGAGAATAGCTCCAACCATATAGGGTTATTGTGACCATTAGAAGAGTTAATACTGAATAGTGTCTGACCCATAGTGACACGTTGTTTATTATTATTATAATTCACTATTCCTGTTACGGTCATTTCAAGGAGTGTTGAAGGTAAAAAAAAACAATGGGACATTTCCTTGGGATATTAGTTTTACTAACTACTTGAGGGAATTGTAAAACTCTTCCATTTGGAAACATTGCAGAATCAAGTATAATATTCACTGTAACCCTCCAGCTAAATCACAAGACTTCAAAGAAATCTCAAGCTTGTGGTAGCCACTCTAGGCTGTGCCAACCCCATGCTGGAGGTGGACATTGATGCCCCCTCCCCAGACTCTTCTAGCAGTTCTGCTGTGTCACCTGTTCAGTCACCGCGTGGGCTGCTTCGTTGGGATCGTGGCACTGATTGACAAAGTTACAAATCTCTTGACTGTTCACCATGAAGTTAATTCCATCTGTGGTGAGGACCAGGAAGCTGTCATCTGCATGCTGTAGCTGCCATGAGAACCAGACATACGTGCTTATACAGGAGACTCAACCCATTAACCTTGCTAATTCAAAGATTTTATCTGTTTTGCTGAGTGGTCATCTATGCAAGAGTTTGTAGGCCAACACTGAAAATATGAAGCCTACAGAGAGGGTAAAGTAGCAACATTCAGTGCTCACCACGAAGGCCAAACCTCAGACAGCTCAGAGAGGCAGCACAAGGCCGTAGTCCCGAGTGCTATCTCTGGCACTAGCGAAAGCTTTGAATCGTTCCTCGATTATCCGGCTGAGTGCGCACAGCTACATTGACCTCTGTATACTTTAGATTTGTTTTCCTTGTAAATGAGGATAGTGGTCTCCAGTTTTGAAAGGAGTTTAGCACGTAGTAAACCCCGCCTAAGTATTCGTTAGATGAAATGAACAGGTTTGCTGTCGGTCTTGGAAGGGAGGATGATAATCGACTTGGAGGCTTCAGAGAAGGAAGCGTCAGTGACAGGCTGGGTGTGTGTTGGGGGCAGTTTAGGGTAATGGGGCATGGATCAGTAGAGCGCAAAGGATGCCACGGAAATAGAGGCGGGCGATTGTTTAGCTTGGCAGAGGAGGAAAGTCAGGGCCAGCTTCTGATCGGAGACTGATGACCACGTGCGGGCAAGGTTAGAGCAGAACTGTTCTACCAGGAGAATTCCACAGCTGAGGTGAAACAAAAACTAAAGACTTCTTCACATATTAACTAGAAAAATAGCACCAATTTTATCTGAAAAGTTTATTTATCCTTTCATAAATGACTTCACTTTAAAAATCACTTTGGGCTTTAGTTAAGGCTTCCAAGAAAGTGTGCGGTCAGAGACACACCCAGACTCATCACCTGTATATCTATTAAGTACTGTTTACAGGGCCTTTCTTACCTTGATCCTCTTTGTTTCAGGTTCTGCTATCACGCCACTGGTTTTAAGGTCCAAATCCCCAATGCTCCTTGTCATCGCCAGTCTGCCATTTACGTGAGGCTGCCCCAAACTATTCCAAGCTACAAAACCACCACATTTCTTGATCCTGGTCAGCAAAAAATTGAAAGACAATGATGTGATCTGCGGAAAACCAAGTCACTGTTTAACTTAAGCATCACCTCCCTTTAAAATGCATGATTTTATTTGGGGGTTTTTTTGCAGTTTTTGGCCAGGGCTGGCTTTGAACCCTCCACCTCCGGCATATGGGGCCGGCGCCTTACTCCTTTGAGCCACAGGCGCCGCCCTAAAATGCATGATTTTAATTGTATCATGAACAATACATCCCCCTAGAAAGTTTTATCAGCGGCAGTAGTACCTTTCTTTTTCATCTTTTCTTTCTGGAGTATGGTCAGTGGTCAACTTCATGGGTTTTCCTTTTCTACACAGAATAGCCCGGCTGTCCCCAACACTGGCAACAACCAGTTCAATACCATCTCGCAGCAGAGCTACTGTTGCGGTAGTCCCAGAGGTCAGAAGCGTTGCTACAAATATTGTGAAAAAGAGTGCCAGTTAGTCACAGTCAAATGATCGCATATGAAATTTTCCTTATAAAATAAAAGACAAGCATGATAAACTAATGCTGGAATGTATCATTCTAATTTAATTTAGAGCTATGCAAATAAAATGCAAATGAACTATGTAAGTAACAGCATGCAGACAAGTATTTAATTCTATGACAAGGCTCCATGCAAACAGACAAGGTGGCCAATCTAATTTGGTAAACAATGAATCACTGTCTCCAAATGGCCTCTGTATCAAATAGAGCTGACTTGAACTTAAAATGACATTTTTCTGTGTATGTCTAGTCTCAGGACAAAAGCGTACAATTTAGTTTAGATTGGTTATTATGGCAGGATGACTTAGGTCTACTGAGCCGTTCAGGCAGCTGACTTTTCCATAACCTCTAGATTTATTTATTTATTTAGAGACAGTGTTTTGTTCTGTTGCCTTGGGTAGAGTGCCATGGTGTCGTCATAGTTTACAGCACCCTCAAACTCTTGGGGTCAAGAGAGCCTCTTGCCCCAGCATCATGAATAGATGGGACTATAGTCACCTGCCACAACACCTTGTTAGTTTTTTCTTTTTAGCCGAGATGAGGGTCTCACTCTTGCTCAAGTTGGTCTCCAATTCTGAACTCAAGTAATCCACCCGCCTTGGCCTCCCACAGTGCTAGGATTACAGGCATGAGCCATTGTACCCGAACTATAATCTATAGATTCAGAAGGTTTTCTCTTGTATTTCTTGCTTCTGCCCTGTGAAAGTATTATCAGTTAATAAGGCTACAAGCCAAGGGCACACTATTAGCATTAATAATATTAGTACTAACACTAATATTACTAATATAGTAATTACTAATTCCCATAGTTAACTACTCTAGTAGTTATTGGTATTAGTTAATACTAATATAGTAATATTAGTATTAGTACTAATAGTAGTACTGATAGTAATATTTTATATTCTTTCCTTCTATTACTCTTTTAATTTTCCAAATGTTCACCAAACATTCTAAAATGTTAAAGAATTACTTTTTTTTTTTAATCTTTGTCTTCCTTACACATGAACCAAAGTTATAGCCATCATTATATTAGCTGAAAATGTGGTGGGGAATGAAATTCCTTCTAGTTTCTCATAAACTCAGAGTAGTTAACACTCTAAGTTCCAGAAAGATCTAATACAAAAAGTCTATGTCCAAATGTAGGACTGCCAATTGCTACTCCTGTGGTTCTTCCTGGACCCAGAGCATTCCAAGAATATTACTTTTCTCTGATTATTAACAAATAAAATGTTACAGGATTTGAGGATGTCACTATTTCTTCCATCCTAGTCAAATTTTTTTTTTTTTTGGAGACAGAGTCTTACTATGTCACGCTGGGTAGAGTGCTGTGGCGTCACAGCTCACAGCAACCTCCAATTCTTGGGCTTTGGCAATTTTCTTGCCTCAGCCTCCCAAGTAGCTGGGACTACAGGCACCTGCCAAAATGCCCAGCTATTTTTGTTGTAGTTGTCATTGTTGTTTGGCAGGCCCAGGCTGGATCTGAACCCACCAGCGCTGGTGTATGTGGCTGGCGCCCTAGCTGCTGAGCTACAGGCACCGAGCCAAATTACATCTTTTATCTTCCTTTGATTCTAACAGAATCTGTCTTAAGTTCTTTACCACTTGTTAAAAATTCTTAAGGTGCATTGAGCCTTGCCAAAAGTGAGAATATTGTGAAATTATGAGATAAAAATAAAGCAAAGTAGAAGAAATTGAAAAAGATTTAAAGCAGGTATCTTCTCTAGTAACATTGTTCATTCCGTAAAAGATCTAAATACAATATTCAGGTGATCATCCAAAGATAATTTTGACTTTGATTAGAAAAAATGAAGTGCTATTGATATGGCTCAATCTTTCCAAGCATTCTGTTTTTCAAAAAGACAATTTAACAAACTTCAACAGTAATGCACTGGAAGGTGATATATACATATATAGATTTTCCAATCAGTATATTAAAATGCCTGCTTTAATTAGTAAAATAAAATAGAAAAACATGAATAAACTCTACGTAATCTTTTCTAGTCATGCTGAATTTACTGGCTTGAGAAATAGCAGTTATAGTTGTACTATCTTCCCATTCATCTCTCAATTTTGGAACTGTCAAATATATATTTATCATTGCATAACAAAAAATGTTTTAGCACAAATATCAGTGACATTTATATTATATATTTTCTTTTTCTCCTGTTTCTGGTCCTTGATTCGAGATACATAACAAATATTAACTTTTAACTTTAGATTACCCAAATGACTATACAATAATGTAATCTTTATAATCATAATATTATAAATGCTTTAAAAGAGCCAAGCAAGAAAACACAGGCATGTATTCAAATGCTACCTGTCCAGGGAATTTTGTATTCCTTTCCTTTATTTAAACTGCCAGCAATAGCTTTTTTTTTTTTAAGAGATAGAGTCTCACTTTATTGCCCTGGGTAGAGTGCTGTGGCGTCACAGCTCACTGCAACCTCCAGCTCTTGGGCTTAGGCGATTCTCTTGCCTCAGCCTCCTGAGTAGCTGGGACTACAGTCGCCCGCCACATTGCCTGGCTGTTTTTTTTTGCAGTTTGGCCAAGGGCCAAGTTCGAATTCACCACCCTCAGTATATGGGGTCAGTGCCCTAATCACTGAGCCACAGGCACTACCCCTCAGCAATAGCTTTTTTAAAAAGTGATTTATAACTGGCCACAAGAGAGTTAAAATATCGAAAGTGAAAGTTTAGCTGTTTAGGCTTGTAACTCACCGCACTCTCACCTTAGAATTTAAAAGAGCTTGACTTTTTAACCAACCCAACTTCACAGTTCCAAAATTCTAGGATTTATGGGAAAGTTTTCAAAACTAACTATTGATTCTGGTTTGCTAAGCATCTAAGAATATAAATAACAAATCAGCATTTATTTTCATTTAACATGGAAGTAAGAATTCTCACTTTTTGCCCTAACAACAAAACTATAAAACTAAGATATCTTTCAATAAGTTCTTAACACTCACTGGACAATTTCTATTGCAAGTCATCTCAACTAATGGGAAAAAGAGGATGTGGGAACCTTTCAGTAGTCCAGGCTAGGAACCGCTGGACTCCTTCACCTGGGACAAAATTAAGCAGATCTCTCTTTCCACTGAAGCCCAGCATCTAGTGTCCACGGGCCTCAGGCCTAGAGCTGCTGACCGGGCACAGTTCTCTGCCACAAATAACAGGCACAGAGGCAAATAGGAAATTCACCCAGGAATTGTGCTCAAACATTACAAACCTGCAACACAGGGGAAAGCAGAAAAAGAGCTGCAAATTAAGGGCCAAGGAAGGGGAAGCGTTTTTATTTTGGTGAGAATTTCACTAGCAAATTATATCATATTCCAGGAGATGCCAAATCACTGATTCCAAAGCTCAATTTCTCCAGTTGATGGTATTTTGTAGTTGAGTCAACTTTTTTTTTTTTTTTTAAATAAGAGTAATACCTATTTCTTGGTTTTATGGCTTCCAAGTTAGGAAAAAACTGTACACAAATGTATCCATACCCAAACATGTAAGTGGTGACACGCACATACATTCTCTTTCTCTCTCTCACACACACACCCAGAATTGGTCTTAAGCACAGTAAATCAGTATCTACACAGAGTTGAACAAATGCTCTATCACTATATCTGCAATACAAAATTGTCCCAATAACCCAAGGGTTAATCTGTGGTTATAGGTCAGTATAATTTGTACCTGACAAGCAGTACACAGTTAGACAGAATGGGAACTACAGCATACCACCAAATTACTGGGACTTAATAAATACCCCCTTAATAAATACCCCAAAGCACCCCCTAGGGACACCACATCTGATGCTTAATGCAAAGGTTTAGTAGGAGGTAGAAGGCACTTTTTTGAGTAGAACGATTCATTTAAATTCATTGTTTAAGTAAAGGCTCTTAAGCTCTCCCGCAGGTTTAGAGTGTTACTTGATTCCCAGGACAGGAATTTCTGCAGCTCTCTCTTTCCCTCAGTGTTGCAGGTCGACACATCAAAACAAAAATGATCAGACTTCGAATGGCAACATAAAGACTAAAAGCTGCACTTTGCAAAAAATAACGACCCATAGTAATTATTCAGTCGTGCGAATAATAGCATGTATAATACAGTCTCAATACAATACTAATAAAAATGGGTGTCCTAGTCATGTGGGAGTCGTGAGCACTTAGATCCAAGTATGAGCTGAAGCAGTTAACAGCACAGTAAGAACATCTCTTCAATGCGACCCCTATTTTTTTTCTTTTGGTTGCCCTCAGGATAAGGTAAATCCCCTTCTTAAAAAATGCTGCATTTGTAGTCCTGGTTATTTTGCAGTTTAATTCTTCTATAAGGACCCCATGAAATATGAAGAACGTGGAAGCTTCTGATGAGATTCGAGATGCCATCAGTGTTCCCTGCCTCTGAATTTCACGGCAAGTCTTCGCTCTTGTTGAGCCATTTGTCCCTTTCAGAGCTCTGTTGCTTTCAAGGCTTAAGCAATCTAAAAACACTTTGAAGACTTTATAGAATAGATGGGATTACAATTTAAGTTTTCTACCACCTATTAAATACTTTGTCCTAAGTGACTATCTGTTTATGAACCATAGACTTATGGGATGTCATCTGAACTTACTGGCCGGTTTCATTAAATGTAGGAGTAGGTATTATTGGTATGAATTGAATAAAAAAAAAAATCCAAAGATGGTTGTGAAATTAGCTATTTGTAACTAAGGACAAATTTTAAATACAGTAACAGGCCGGGCGAGGTGGCTCACGCCTATAATCCTAGCACTCTGGTGGATTCCTTGAGCTCAGGAGTTGGAGATCAGCCTGAGCATGAGTGAGATTACCCCATACCCTGCCCCCGCGCTTCTAAAACTAGCCAGATTTTGTGGCAGGTGCCTGAAGTCCCAGCTTCTTGGGAGGCTGAGGCAAGAGGATCACTGGAGCCCAAGAGTTTGAGGTTGCTGTGAGCTATGACACCACAGTACTCTATCCCAGGGCAAGAAAGTAAGACTCTATCTCAAAACAAACAAACAAATAAATAATAAATAAATTGTAGTAACAAAAAAAAAAAATACAAATAGCTGGCAATTTTTCAATGGCAAGAAGATCTTGTTATTGCTGTTTCTTTTTCTTTCTTTCTTTTTTGAGACAGTCTTTTGCTTTGTCACCCTTGGTAGAGCACTGGGGTGTCATAGCTCACAGAAACCTTAAACTCTTGGGTTCAAGTGATTCTCTTGCTTCAACCCCCTGATTAGCTGGGACTATAGGCACCCACCACAAAGTCCAGGTTATTTTTTTTAGAGACAGGGTCTCACTCTTACTCAGGCTGGTCTTGAACTCCTGAGCTCAGGCAATCTACCCACCCTGGCCTCCCAGAGATAGGATTACAGGCATGCGCCACAGCACTGGGCCATTATTGCTATTTCTTGGTAAGTGGCATTCTGATTTTATTCTCTTCAAATTACCCCCAGCTCAAACTAAAATACTAAACTAGTATATATTTTATTTCTTTTTCTTTTTTTTTTCTTTTTCTTTCTTTTTTTTTGAGACAGAGTCTTTCTGTGTTGCCCAGGCTAGAGTGTAGTGGCACCATCATTGCTCACTGCAACCTCAAATTCCCAGGCTGAAGAGCTCCTCCTGAGTAGCTGGGACTACAGGTGTATGCCAGCAGGCTTGGCTTATTTTTCTATGTTTTGTAGAGATGGGTCTCGCTGTGTTGTTCAGGCTGGTCTTGGAACTCCCGACTTCAAATGATTCTCCCCCCTTAGCCTCCTAGAGTGCTAGGATTACAGGCGTGAGTTACCATGCCCAACCTGAACTATATAGTTTATCTATTTTAGATGCTAATGAAGTAAATTGAAATTCTTCATGTAGATCGGACAGCTTTGGCACTGATGTCTAGAAGAGATAAGAAAGTTTTATTTTCACTTGATTTCTCTTAAGAAAGCTAATATGGTATTATTGAGGGGGCACGTCTCCCATTTATACCTAAAACTGAGCATCGGTGATTCCTTCCTATGGTTTAACCCAGTGGTCCCCAACCTTTTTGACACCAGGGACCAGTTTATGGAAGACACATTTTCCAAGGTGGAGGGCATTAGCTCCTCATCAGACCGTGCAGCCCAGATCACTCAGACACACAGTTCATAGCAGGGCTCACACTCCTATGAGAGTCTAACGCTGCTGCTGATCTGACAGGCGAGGGGCTCAGGCAGGGACGCCAGTGACCGGGAGTAGCTGTGAACACAGATGGAGCTTAGCTCACCACCTCCCAATCCCACTCACATCCTGTCGTGCAGCCCGATTTCTAGCGGGCCGTGGATAACGCTGGTCCGCGACCCAGGAGCTGGGGACTGAAGGTTTCTTCCCTTTCAGGTTTCTCCTCCTTAAAATCCACTCAGGAAAGACAAGTCATTCAAATGCCTGCATCTTATTAATCATTTACTTAAATCAGTGATAGGATAATTGAAGAATAAATTATAATAACTTCAGTGAGAAAGAGAGGGCAGTGGAGGTTAGTTCAGTTGGAACAATTATGAAGTACCTCCCAGATGCTGTGAAGCCTGCTATACACTAAACCTTAGAAAATGAACAAGCCTCTGTCCTTGACTTCCCTGGAAAGGTTTAAGAGTAGAAAAGTGGGGTTAATGGAAAAAAAGATGAAAGAAACCAGAGAGGGCAGAGTGCTTACTACATACACAATTTTGTTCAGCTCGCTCTGATTGTGTGTGTGTTATATATATAATATACATATATATGTAATATACATACACAATATATGTAATATGCATACACATGTATATATAGTCTATATGCCCCAAACAATATTATCTACTTTTATAATACTGAAATGGCTTCAGTTCTTACTAAAAACTAAAGTTTTAGATTTAAATAATTTTGAAATCTAAGATGACATTTTGTTTAAATCAGCAAATTGAAAAGTTAAACAAAACATTCTATCTTTAGTAGCTTTAAAATATTTGATAGAATAGGCCCCAAATATCAAAAAGCAATTTTTGCCATCTTTGAAAGCTGTGACAACTTATTGAGAATATAATAAGTTTATTTTTGGGCCTGAGTCTCACTATGTCGCCCTGATAGAGTGC